TCTCTCTCTCTCTCTCTCTCTCTCTCTCTCTCTCTCTTGGTTTTTTGTTTGTTTAGTTTTTTGTTTTAGAGTGGGGATTGAACCCAGGGGCACTTAACCACTGAGCCACATCCCCAGCTCCTTTTATATTTTATTCTGAGTCAGAGTCTTGCTAAATTGCTTAGGACCTCACTAAGTGGCTGACACTGGCTTTGAACTTGTGATCTTCCTGCCTCAGCCTCCGGAGCCACTGGGATTACAGGCACGTGCTACCACACTCAGCCTGGGGTCCTCTTTTGAGAGGGACCTAGACTACAACAGTAGTTTAGATGGGGACATATTCATATCATCTACAGCTCCAGCATGGTCCATCTAGAAGGGACGCACTATAGGAGTCTGCCTTGATGCTTATAGAAGGGAAAGGACAAAACAGAAAGAGGAAAGGGTTCTGATAAAGATGCTCACTTCCAATGGTCAGAGATGCAAGTGAAATTCTAAGTGCATTCTCTAAAATGCTACTCGCAATACCTAGAGCAGCAGCTTCAGGCACTGGGAGACCTGTCCCTGGAGGGCTAAAGGGAGGTGGGCATCCCCAACAAAGGTGGAGGAGGGCTGAGAAAATGCAGAAGGAGAATTCCTTTTTTTTTTTTTTTTGCCCCAAGGTGTGATTCAGTCCTTCATTTTGCACATTCACTTAGAGAAAAGCTGGAGTTCTTTGTTACACAATATTTTCAAAGGCTTTGACAAAGAGAAGCAATCCAAGCCCCTCTTTGTGTTCCTAAAGAGCGAACATCTTTTCGAAGCTGCAAAAAATAAATAAATAAAATAAAAAACCCAGGTTTAATCAATTTTTATCTTCACAGGACAGATACATGGTTTTGTTGGCTTCTCAGGCACTTTAAAGGCAGAGTCCTACCATTTGAGGATTTCAACATCCCATTTTATTTAATTTGGTTTTATCTAATGCCTGTTTTTCAAAAAATTGAGGTTAATTTGCTTGAGACAATTTCGGAGAAAACACTTTATGTCTCTTAGAAAACCTTGAGATAATATCATCCATCCCTGTGTGCATGCCAATTAAGGTGGAGGATGGGTGCTCTGGAATCCGGAGAAAGACCCCTGCCTAGCTCATTTGGAGTTCTAGGGAAGGAACTGTTCAGCAAGTGTAAGTGAAGACTCAGGACATGTTTGAGTGGCTTGCTGAGTCGATTGCACACAGATGATCCTCATCAGATATTTAACTGGAAAAGAAAGATATCAGGGAAAGTTTACAATTAATATTAAGAACAATTAAAAGTTTATGAGAGACATAGAAGAGAAAGCATTCTCTTCAACTTGAATTTGCTGCTTGAGGGTGTGTGTGTGTGTGTGTGTGTGTGTGTGTGTGTGTGTGTGTGTGTGTGTGTGTGTTAGTTAATGTGCATATGTAGAATTCAGTTCTGAGTGAAGACCTGGCAGTCTTGTATCAGCTTACTAGACTCTCTTTTAGTTTTCAGTTTCTGAAGTCTAGTTAATTCCCTCAATATTGGGTTTCTCAGTTTGCCAAGACTGACTCCAAACACCTGTTCTGCCTCAGGAATTATTCTCGAGGTCAACTCACTTTGCTTCTCTGACACCCAGCTTTTTAGATGAGATAATACTATGTTTTAGCCCTAGACATCTTGGAATCAAAGACCAGGTAAGGAATAGGGTTATTTGAGAAACAAAAGCTGGAGTAGCACAGGGGAAGGGGAGGAGGATAGTGTGGTTGGGAAGGTGAGAAAAAGGGTGACACCATGTATGCCACTGATTCACAACATTCACTGGAGAGTTAATAATAAGAAAGCACACCTCAGAGTCATGCATGGGGTGCAGAGAAGAGAGGGACTTATTTGTTCCGTTCCCTTCTACCTCATGTCTCCCATCGGTCAAGATTGACCTCACTGGCAAATAACCCCACCCAAATTTCCAGGTCACATCATCCAGCCCTTTGGTGAATACTCAAGAATCCAAACTCAGTAGTCTGCAGTGTGGCACTTTAACCCTGTGTAGAAGCAGCAGAGAAGTCAGAGATGACATGGCTCTGCATGGGCGATGTGAGAGCCAGACAGACAGAGGAGTTCCCTGGACTCCCACCAGCCAGGACCCTGTACAAGGGTGCCACAGAGGTGCGTGAAGCAGTACAGCCTGGGGGATGTATTTTGAAAGAAGTGGATGGTCCAGGGAACTGAGAAATCACACGAAGTTTCTGTCCAATAAGACTGAGATCTACTGTATCAGAATTTTACCAGAATTGAACTTAAGCCCAATGCCTGGTGTGACAGAGAGCACCTGGACTTCAGTTCACTATTGGCTTGTTAACTGTGCAAACATAGGCAAGATACTTGCTTTAAACATCAAAAGTCTCACTTTAAAAGAAAAGATGACAATTGTACTTATTTCATAGAATTTTATTTTATTTATTTTTTGGTGGTGCTAGGGATTGAACCCACGGCCTTGTGCAGGCAAGGCAAGCACTCTACCAACTGAGCTGTATCCCCAGCCCTCTATTTCATTGAATTATTGGGAAGATTACATGGGACACTAGAGTACTTAGCACAGTATCTCTTGGGTGGCAGGTGGTCAGTAAACTTTAATCGTGATGTTGATGGCAATGCTGCTGCTACTAATAATAAAGATGAAAATAATGAATCAACAGTGCTTACATGTAAAGTTCTTTAAAGTCAATTTTATATAACTCCTTACAAGAAAAATCCCTGGTCTCTGGTGTTTTCTATTTGGTTTCCTATTGCATTCTTGTCATCGTTGAATTATATTAAACTTGATTTCAGTTCTTCTCAAAACCCTGGTTGATGGAAATTTACCCAGTGGCTGAACATGATAGAGAAACTGCTATAAGAATACCACTACACAGACTATCAGACAGCGGGATCTCTTAATAAATCCTGAGCCTGGTCTGAAGTTTAATGACTTCGAAGGCAGCCATAACTGGCCAGTCAACCAGAGACACATCAAATTTATTAATAAGATGTTGTGGAGTTCCTTATCTATCTATGCATCACTGGATACCCTAGCAACTGAATCCATCTCGGGACTGTCCATAAGCATTTTGTGGTTTCTGTAATACTTCCTGAGCATAGAAGGATTTGTGTCCTCAACTATAGGTAAGCTAGCTCATGTTCATCACTCATGAAATGACTTTAAAGAAAAAGTAATTTATTAAATATACTTGACCTTAGATATCTATGTGTTTTCTTGGGAGAAACTATGAAACAAGTCATTAAATAAACAACCTGAATGTGTATCCTGAATTTATCACAGTTGTAGGACAGATCCCATCAAGCCAGATGTCGGTGTGATCCACATACCTGTAAAAGTCAAACTTGATTGGGAACAGGGGGTACAGAGAAGGTGCAAAAGTCCAGGTACTTCCAGCGAGGATTTTCACAAAACGGTTCCCTCAAACTGTCATAGTCCCTCCCCCTCCATATGCACACCTCTGCCTCTTCACCCAGCTCTAGTGCCCTAATTCAAGACACAGAAATAGGTGATTGCAGACCCCTGAGTTTCTTCCAAAAATTCCCTTATTTGCCTGGACCAAGGAGTGAAATTCTGTATTGAAAGAAATAATTTTCTCAGCAGGCTTCCAAAGCTACATCTAAGACAGTCCTAGAGATTGGCTAAGACCATGGATTTAAGCTCACTCAAATATGAGTTTAAATCCTGTTCTCACAGCTACTATTTTATGACACTAGATAGGCTACTGAGTCTCTCTGCTCCTCAGTTTATTTCTAAAACAGAGTTGATAATAAAAAAGAAGATAATGGTTACCCTTTATTAAATACTTACAATGCCCCCTTCCCAACTGAACTAAATAAATCCTTCACCTTTATTCTTTCCTTTTTGGAGATTTCCTTGACAACTCTTGGAGGCATATGATGTCACAATGAACAACCCCTGCTACTGTCATGCCCACTACATATGCCACCACTACTGTCATTGCACTTTTCATTCCCAGCTCCCTCTCATGTCCATGACTAATATTCTCTCCTGCTTTTTAAAATATATTTTTTAGTTGTAGATGAACACAATATCTTTATTTATTTATTTTAATGTGGTTCTGAGGATCAAATTCAGTGCCTCACATGTGCAAGGCAAGTACTCTGCCACTGAGCTACAGCTACAGCCCCTCTCCTGCTTTTTGAGGCATTAACACATCTTCTTTTTGGTTCTAGGGCCAGATATACCTGAGATACACCGATAGAGGGGTTACTTTGTTCCCTTGTTCATTTTTTTCTGAGAATTATGTAATACATGTAATTTTTTTCTTGCATTATTTAGGGATGTTGATCTGCTCTACTCTGGATTTACTTCAAGAAAGGATCCAGATCAAGAATCGTTCTACGGCGTTTACAGCAATAAGTTCCTCTAAAACAGAACTCAATTTTAAACAGCATAAACAAAAATAAAAGAAACAATTGCAAAAATGATCTTCCCAGTAATCCTATAAAAAAGCTCCTCTGACTTAGGCATTGTATTTACTCTGACATTGTGAGGAGGTGGTGTAATGCAAGCTGTTCCTTATGCAGCAATTACTTGGCAACATGAGCTCTACGTTATTAGTGGTCTGTTCTATTGATGCAGGAGCCTGAGGAGCAGCAGCCCTGATCAAGACAAGCAGTCAGCCTCCAGGAAGGTGAAATCTCTACCACGAAGAGATTTTATGTTCACTTCTACCCTTGGCCATGATTTATTAGTAGTGTCTAGATGGTAACTTGATTTAACCCATAATGCATTGCTTTCCAAATTACAGCATGCTAAACATCTAGTAAGCTATTTCAGACAATTAAACAGGCTTAAACAACCCTGGAGTGCTAGTTACTGACACAAAGAAGCAGTTTATCATAGGTAGTGTCACGCACTGTATTACACTCTTCATTCTTGAGCCCTCCCTGAGAAACATCACAGACCCAGGGTTACTCATCCCCTTTCAAAGTGGCATATTTATTTTAGTTAAAAATGGTAACTTCCTACAGCCTAACTATTAGTAGAGACTTAAAAAAAAAAAAAAAGAAAAAGAAAAGGAAAAATCAGGAACAGTTGCCGGTGAGAATGTGCAATGTTCAGCTCTTAATTTCCATAGAGAAGTGAGTAGAGATGTCAATAAACTCCAGAAACCCTGCATTGCGTTGGACTACAGCCTAGACTGCAGTATTGCTCAGCTCACTTTGGGGAGATTTGGCTTTGGGCTATAATCTGAAGGTGGCCTCTGCCGAGGTCCTGAGTATAAAGCCCACTCTAAAGCAGGGGATTGGCCTGTGTGAACTTTTGACATTCCTTCTAGTCGCCAAAGTCTCTTCTGAGAGACCTTGTCACCACCACTCCTTTCAAAAAGCCATGGCCTGTGGAGGTAGACCTGGAGCAGCTGTGGTCTTGTCAGCCAACTCAGCAGTGAGGTGACTGCAGACCCAGTGCCACCCAGTCATCTCTGGGGCCTGTGTCTACAGGCGCCGGGACCCACCTACAGAGATTTCTGTTGAGCAGTGTTGTTATGGGGCCCTGATCCTTTATATTTTTGCCAAGTCTACTGAGGTATAATTTACATACTCGATTGGTACTCACCGGGATAGACTTTAAATACAAAGTTTGAGCAGTTTTTGTTTGTTTGTTTGCTTGTTTGTTTTTATGGTACAGGACTTAAACTCAAGGGCACACTAAGCTACCTCTACAGCCCTTTTTATATTTATTTTGAGACAGGGTCTCATTATATCACTGAGGCTGGCCTTGAACTTATGATCCTCCTGACTCAGCCTCCACAGTAGCTGGGATCACAGGCATGTATCACCATGCCCAGCAGTTTTAACAAAGTTTGAGCAGTTTTGACAAAGGATTTGTCCCTATAACTACTACTACAATCCAGGTGTAAAGCATTGTCAGCACCCCCCAAAGTTTCTATGTGTCCTTTGCATTCAGTGTTCTCCCATCCCATTCCCCGAACCAGGCATCCATTGGTTTGCAGTCCCTCTAATTAGTTCCCATTAAAATTTTTCATCAACAGGGACTCAAGACTGAATCCCACCAGGAGCTTTGAGCCTGCCCCTGCTGTTCCATCCTGTGCTCACCCTTGACATATATTATATGATATATTTGATACACACACAAACACACATACACACACATACACACACACACACACACACCCTATTTTTTGAGCATAATTTTTTGAGATTCGCCTGTTTCATTGTGTACATCGTTGGTTCATTCTTTCTATTTGTAACAAGTATTCCTCTGTGTGGCTATATCCCAATTTCTCTGTCCATTCACTTTTTGATGGACATTTGGGTTGTTCCAGAATTTTAGCCATTAAGAATGAAGCTGCTATGAATAATCTATGTAAAATGTCTTTGTATGGGATTTCTGGGTCACCTAAGTGTATATTTACATTAGGAGAAACTGTCAGATTGTTTTCCAAAACAGTTTCACCCTTTTTTTTTTTTTAAGAGTCTTTCCAGCACTGTTTGAAAGTCCCATTGACTCCATATCTTCATCAATACTCAGTATTGACAGTTGAAGTTTTAGTCACCCTAGTTGGATACCTGTTCAGGTGGACCCCAAATTATGATGGCGCAACTTGGGATTCTTTGACAGGATGATGGGGTGAAGAGGATGCACATTCCGTAGAAAACACACTTCCAAATTTGAATTGTGACGTTTTCTTAGGTTGTCACTGTGCCATTCGATCCCCTTGTGATGCTGGACAGCAGCCCCCAGTCAGCCTGGCAGTTATGAGAGAAACTAGTGGTCCTCAGCAGCTCACTGTGTCGCTGAGCTAGGATGTTCAGCAGGTTAGGTGTAGTAAATCTCTCTCCTCCTGTGGTATTTCAGCTTATGATGGGTTAGGGTGTAATCCATTATTAGTCTAGCAGGAGCACCTCTGTTTGTAATAAGCTCCTGAACGATCCCAATGCACACTAGCCCAGGTCTGTAAAATCATTGGCTTATTTATGGCAGCCTAAAAGCAACTCAAGCTCTGAATCGCACTCTGAGCCTGCCCCTGCTGTTTTATCCTGTGTGCACTCTAGATAACCAGGGTCTTTCAGAATTAGTCCTCCTGGTATCTGGACAGCCAGGCTTTCCACCGCTCTGCTGCTGTTGTCCACTGCCTCTGGGAGAACCATTCTCATGAGCCAGCCTCCCATCTGTGGATCCATACCTGGTCACCCCAGGCCAGAGCTGCATTGAATGAGTAGATGATGGGGGAGGGGAGAGGGACCAGCAAGGACCAAGTCTCAGGGTTACGAACTCACCTGGCCTATTGGGAAGCCAGAGTAGTTAAGGGTCCCTTGAGTGTGGTACTGAAAGGAGAACTTGGATAGAGATGGCTGAAAATCCAGATCACATGGGGTCTTTAATGCCATGTTCCACGCTTTGGGCATTTTTCTAGGAGAGACTGAGATGTGGGGCACAGATGGCTGTCTTCTGTGTATCAGAAAGATTACCCTAGTGTCTGCAAGGAAAATGAATTAGAGAGGAGGAAAAGAGAGAAGAAAATTAGCTAGAAGACCAACGCTGCAGTCCACATGTATCCCAGGTTTTAGCCCAGTTCCGACTCACTACAGGTACATTGTAATTATTTTTAAATAAAGGGGTGAAAAAAAAATGTGGGTTTTTTTTTTGGTCACATCCTGCTTCACTGTGTTTCTCCCCCCCACCACCTCAAGCCCCGCCAAAGGTGGTAAAATAAATTGGTCTGGGGGCACGGGGTGACCTGCTCAGGTCTAAAGACCATCCTGCTGTGTAACTTGCTCTGCCAATCTCCTGGATGCCTTGCCATCATCATAGTTCTGTGACCTTTCCCACCTGGTCCTTGCTCATTCCTTCACTCACCAGTCTTTGAACATTTATTATAAGTCAGGTATAAACTGAAAATGAGCAAACACCATCTCAGCCCTCAGGGCTCTATGTTCTTTCCCATCTTCGTGAAGCCTCAGTCTGGGGGTCTGCAAACTTTCTCTACAAAAAGCCAGGTAGTAAATGTTTGGGGCTTTGATAGCCACTTTGGTCTTTTGTAGCTACTCAGCTCTGCCACTGTAGCCCCACAAGCTCCCAAGCTATCCTAGACGACTAAACAAATGGGCCTGGCCATGCTTCAGTAGCACTGCATTTATGAGCACAGAAATCTGAATTGCACGTGAATTTTCATGTGCCACTGTTATCAGAGTCCTAGGCCAGAAGGACCTGACTTCAGGAAGTCCCAACAAATCATGTTCCACCACTCACCCCAGAAACCACATGGAAAAAATAAAGGGTAAGAGGCAGGAAAGAAATATGTTTATTCAATATACCTACATCAGGAAGACAAGGGGGAGTAAGGGTCCTCGGGCCTGTCTTGGGGTAGGGTAGTGATGGGAACTTTGAGGTTTTGTAGAAAGGGGGGACAAAGGCAGGGGTTGGGAGTTTGCACAGCTGGGAGCTTTGCATAACTGTCAAAGCAGGTGATCTTAACCAGTCCATGGTTTGGTTGATCATTATCTCAGGGCTGATTCTGCCAAACCCCAAGGATCAGGGAAGTCATTGTTTACCGGGGCAATTCAACTCCCCTAGTGACAAGATTTTCCCTGCCTTGTGGGGCTACGTTGGTTCCCATCATATGGCAGTTGCTCTGTCTGGGGGTCTGGGTGGCGATCTCATGCAGTAGAGTGATCGGCCTACAAGGCTCACTGTTGTTTGGTAGTAGCTTTGGTTCCTTGTTGTAAGACATTTATCCATCAGACCTAGTGCTCCTGGAATCCAAGGTGACGCAGCACAGCATGACCCAGACAGCAAGGAGATAGAGACAAAATGGAGGGAGGGATGCTGATCCTTTATTAGGTTC